GACTAAAAGGAGTAGTTGCTTCCACTGTTAGAAGGAAAAAATTCAAGTGATTGCGCCGGTGCCGCATGCGTTAAGCTTTGCTACCCTGACAATGCAGCCTGTTCATTATCATAATAAAATACAGCCAGTCAAACATATGGAAAAAAAAAACACACTGTCCAATTTAAATATGTAGTCAAATCTGTGCCATTAAGTGTTATCACCGTACCGCCACGATGTTATGTAAAACATTTTGTTTTACGTGGATATTGTAATGCGAGTGAAGTAGGCTACATAATAAATAATAATTTGCCATTCAAATACATCGTGAATACGGAAACATTTGATTTTGTGTTGAATGAGAGACCCAACGTTGGTTTCAGTTTTGTTTTAGCCTAAATTAATTTGTTTTGGCTTGTCGTTTATATTGCTATAGCTTCTTATATTTTTAATTCTTGTTCTTTTCTAAATAGCCTACTGTTAATTGAAAGGCTTTGTTGTGGAGTGAGGGGAACTAAAATAGCTATTTTGCGTCGGCATTAGGCCTATTTCTGAATGAAATAATAAAATGCGACTTATACGGGACTCTCTAAAACTTTTTTTTTTTATACGCGTAGCGTATTTTAACCATGCAGCAAATCTTTTTTAATATTTTGATAAATTACTGAAAAATAAATGACCTTTTAAACCGTTTAACTGATTGTATTAATCGGTCAAAATTCTATACGGTCGGTTAACGGTTAAACGGTTAAAATGAACATCCCCAGTTGATTTTCCAAAATGGGTTCTGATGTTTATCTTTGTAAAGCTGCTTTGACACAGTATTCTATAAAGCGCTATTCTATAAGGTGGCTTGACTTGTCTTGACATGACCTATGTGGCCAGCAAATGCATTGTCTGGAGGGTGCAGCCTTCAAAATGAGACACAGACAATATCTGTAAGCAGTACGTAAGTTCTAGATCTCTGTCTCTTGCCCTGTAGATAGGAGGCACTACCTCCCCACGTCCCCTCTAAGAGATTATGGCAGTGCAGGCACAGGTAACAGAAGACGGTCTAGATCTGTCGCTGTGCGTTTCACAGACTCCGCTCAAGCTGAAGAGCAGGTATGACTGTGCATCCAGAGACCCAGATTTGTCTGAATTGCAGGATAAGGTTTGTGCAACACTGGATATCCAGCAAGGTGGCATGTTATTCAACAACATTGTTTAATATATTATATGGTGTAGTCATGCTTATTTTTAAAAAAAAAACATGTAAATACGGATTCAAACTCATTTTATTTATTTTTTTGAATTGCATATACTTTTTGATGTATGCAAACAAAAGATAAGACTATTCATAAAAAAAAAGAAAAAAAAAGAACCGGTTCTTTTGGTTGTAGAATTTTATTATTGTGATTATAACCATGGCTTCTTGGGGCTTATTGCTTTATGTCCAGCCCTAAAATGTCATGAAAATTAAGATCTTAAAACGTTACGAATATACGCAGGGGAGCGTGGGGCACACCACTTTTTGACGTTCTAAGTTTGTGTAAATCCACGTGGGGTTCAGAGTATAATTTTTTTTATCCACATTAATTTCACACTTGTCTAGTACAAATGTTCCAAAGAATGGAAGTGAAATGTGACAACATGCCCCGTTTGTGGGGTACATTGTAACATGTGAGGGGCACGTTGTAACATGACGATATGACAGCTTAAAATGTTATCTGATCTAATGAAAAAAATATACAAGACTAACTAAAATATTTTGTCAATAAAATAATTAAAATGATTAACCTTTTCAAATAAAATAGTGTTTTTTTTAAAGAATAATAATAAATAATAAAATTTTGCAGTTTGACAAGGAACACATTGCAACCATGCTTGAGACAGCCCAGGGGCCCGTTCTGCGTACGTTGCTAACTCAGTTAGCTGGATTTGATTGTTGACGATTTGGCATGATCTTGGATTATTTGGTTCTTCGAAGCTCATCCCGGAGCTACGTCCGTAAGCTTAAACCTGCTCGGGAGCAGGCTTATTTCATGTAAACAGGATTAGATCGCATCTTTTTAAGCAGAACTGATACTTAAAATCTGTCCGCTACCACCGCTACTTTATTACAAGAGTATCCTACTGATCCAGGGACAATAATTTAAAATAATAATAATTAAAAAATTAATTTAAAGATAATATAATAATGTTGTGTAGTCTTTAATACTATAGACTGTTTTACTCACTGAAAGATTTATTCGTCATAAAATTATTACTTCATAATTGTATTAGAGTCTTACACATATGCTATACAGATAATGTAGAGTCCTGCATTAATTTGTGTGGTGACATATTATGGGAGTGGCTTGATGCAGCGCAGGAGATGCAGATAACATGATCTTGACCCTTAAGAAACCTTAAATAATGCTGTCACGTAACAAATCTGTTCAAATATAAAATTAAATGAATTGCTAATTGCTACATTGAAATCAAAATGTAAAGCCTGTATAAAAATTAGAAATCGTGAATATAAATAATTGGGAATCATGTAAAAACTCATAACATTTATGTAGTTTTGTTCGCTTGGCTGTTTCCTTATAAAAGTCCAGAAATTTGTCAAGTTTTTCGTCAGGTGTCTTTTTTAATTATATAATGTCATTACTTTGCTGTCTTGCCACCAGCCAATCGTTGCATTGCTGATCGTGGTTTTGAGTATCGATACATAGCCCCTTTTAAACCAACCCATGAATGCGCAATTATCTCAGATAACTCAATCCAGCCATACTAATCATCAACAACAGGTGCGTTCGATGAACCGAATTAGCCAGATCCTGATCAGCACGATGATATCATCTTGGATGTGACATTTCATCTTGGATATGATATTGGATATCATAAGCGACATACAAAGAACGGGCCCCTGATCGCAAGACACCATTATACAGTATAGCCTAGTTCAAAACAATGTGGGCAAGTAGATGAAGAAACACATTCAGACACTTAGAAAAACAGAGATACACTCCCCTCCCTCCACACACAGCTCTCACAGAACACGAGACACACAAACGAGCCAAAATGCTTTACATTTCTTGAAATCACCAGTGTCTTGTGGTTTCTCATTAAAACTCATAAAAGTAAATAGTGTAAATTAGATTGCTATTTTCACAGAATAGCATAGTTTAATAATAGCGGGGCATCTTGTAATGCAGTGTTACAATGTTCCCCATCTGCGCAACTGGAATTTAAAACTGGTTAGTCTCTTCTGCTAGTTTGCGAAGCATTCAATGGAGATTGGAAAATAATAACAGATTTGTCTTATTTTAAATGAATACTAAAAACTGAGTTGAAAAGTTTACTTCAGCCAGAAATGTACTTTTACTATGGTAAAATAAATATTCAGCAATATCTTCAAAAGATTGTTGAATTTTGCTGCACTTTTTTTCTCTATATCGGGTTGATATGGCAACTAGTAAATGCCGTAAATTTGGTTCCCTTTCAGTTTGAATTGGGATCTCGCTTAAAGAGACCAATCCACTTCAAGTGTAAACTAAACAAGCCAATGCATATTGGCATGCGATAATTGCATCCAGCTGCCGCTGATCACAGCGTGAGCATAAAAAAGCAGCCGGTGCAATGCATACCAGCTTTTCGCTTCAGAGCCGAGCGACAACATCGTTCTGCTCCTACCAACTACTTCGTGTGTGACGAGTTTACCACGCCCTAGGGAGCTTCTTGTGTTGGCGGACGGTGCTTCAGCGGTGGTCGTTCCTATGTGTTGAGTGGGTTGCGCACTTCAGGCTGCACTACCCCCTGTTGTGCTGCAAGCGGCCATCTCCCCTGTGCGTTGATATGGCAACTAGTAAATGCCGTAAATTTGGTTCCCTTTCAGTTTGAATTGGGATCTCGCTTAAAGAGACCAATCCACTTCAAGTGTAAACTAAACAAGCCAATGCATATTGGCATGCGATAATTGCATCCAGCTGCCGCTGATCACAGCGTGAGCATAAAAAAGCAGCCGGTGCAATGCATACCAGCTTTTCGCTTCAGAGCCGAGCGACAACATCGTTCTGCTCCTACCAACTGCTTCGTGTGTGACGAGTTTACCGCGCCCTAGGGAGCTTCTTGTGTTGGCGGACGGCGCTTCAGCGGTGGTCGTTCCTATGTGTTGAGTGGGTTGCGCACTTCAGGCTGCACTACCCCCTGTTGTGCTGCAAGCGGCCATCTCCCCTGTGCGTCTCAGCACCTTAGGATGTACTCGCACTAGGCGTTTTGAATCGTGCCCGAGCGTGTTTGACCCCCAAAGCCCGGTTCGTTTGTCTAGTCTGAGCGCGGTTCGTTTAGCCATCCCTGGCCTGGTTGGAAGAGGTGGACCAGGGCACGGTTCGGTTGGGCTCGGGCGCGGTACGCATGCAGTGTGAGTGCTAACCGCGCCGGAGCACGGCTCAGATACTGTTTTGTGTGCGCTACTGTCATCATTACAACTGCAAACATATAGGCCCACTATAACTACACTAAACTTTTCAGTTCAAGGCAACCGTGCCTAGTGTGAGTACACCCTAAAAGAGCATTTTGCTGAAAGAGCTTATTTCTCTAAAAGAGCTTACACGGGTGCGTCTTTGTAAAGACGATGGATCGTCTTTTTAAAGATGCCGTTTCACCTTCAAGACGGTGGCAAGGCTTGAATCGGATCCGGCAATGTCGGCTATGCTTTCCCGGGCCGCCAAGAGGGTAGGGCTCGAGTGGAAACCTCCACTGCGTCCCGAGCCCTCGAAGTTGGACGATTGGTTTCTCTGGGTGGCTCACGCTGGTTCTCAGTGCCCTGCCTTGATGCCTTTCTTTCCGGAGGTCACCAGGTCATGGACGGCACCTTTTACTGCCGGAAACCGACCTGCTGGTTCCTCCTCCCTCACCACCCTCGACGGGGGTGCAGCAAGGGGGTAACCCATCGCTCCCCTCCCAAGCCTGTAGGCATTTGTCTGGTCTGACCGGCAGTGCTTATACGGCTTGTGGAGAAGATGCCTCCGCTTTACACGCTATGGCGTTACTGCAGGTTCATCAGGCCAAGGCACTGAAGGACCTGCACGAGGGTGGTCATGATCCGGAAGTTCTGAAAGAGCTGCGAACCGCTACTGACTTTGCGCTCCGTGCGACGAAGGTCACCGCGAGTTCTCTGGGTCGTGCAATGTCCACACTTGTGGTGCAGGAGCGCCATCTCTGGCTGTGTCTGGTTGACATGAGGGATGCCGACAAAGTTCGGTTCCTTAATGCCCCTGTGTCCCAGACGAGCCTCTTCGGTGATGCAATCAAGAGCTTTGCCCAGCAGTTCTCGGCTGCACAGAAGCAGACTGAGGCTATTTGTCACATCCTGCCCCGGCAGGCAGCTGCTGCCTCCACCCGTCCACCGGCCGCAGCGCCCCAGCCTGCTCGTCGCCGAGGGCGGCCCCATACATCCACTCCCGCTCCCGCGCTGCATCCGCAGCAGCCTCGAGTAAGCGGCGGCGTGGAGCTGGCCGTAGGCAGGCAGGCCTCCCAAACCATCCAGGCCCCCGTCAAACCTGGCGGTGAGTGGAAGAGCAAAAGGCCCCAGGACAGGTGACCCAGAGAGAGAAGAAGCTGCTCTTTGGGGGGTGGTGAATGCACCTCTCCTTCCAACGGAGGAGGGCCGGGTGGAGAATCTGGAAAACCTCGACGAGAGAGAGCGGTTTTCTCTGTCCCTGGGTCCCAGGAGGGCACGGAGAGTCGCGGACAAACCAACACCGGACCACACTCATCCTTCTCCATCGCCAGCAGGCAGCAGCAGGGGGTTTAAGAGCGTCAACAAAGGCCCTACTCACGCATCCTCTGCCAAACTGTGGAGCCAGGTAAGCATTGCACTGCACACTCAGACCCATCTTCGGTCCGCTCACAAGCTGCTCGAGTTGGGTCCCTGCGTTCCACCTCGCTGCCCCACTGCGGGTACAGCAGTGGTTCCATTGGTCCCCCTTGCATGGTATCTGGGTGCCTGGCTAGCACTACCCAGCCCGTCTCACTGGCTTCTGCGGACCATCAGCCTTGGCTATGCGATTCAGTTCGCCCGGCGTCCCCTGTGGTGGCTTCTGCCATTGTTGTGAGGAATCATTCTCAAAGTCTTG